ATACTTAGCGAAGCTGAAAGAATTAAAAATACTTTTGATGCTTTTTGAAAATGCTTTTTAGAGTTCCAGAAAACAGAGAAAGTTGTTTGGTGCGTGTCAAAATCGCTCAAATCGAATCCAAACGTTTTCAGATTACTTAACAAAGACGAAAGAAGTTATAAAAGTTGATGAGAACACTTTCCAGAAGCTTTCAAAGAATTTTGATAATGGGAAAGTATGGTTAGTGTAAGTCAAAATGGCTCTAATCGATTGAAAACATCTCTAGGATGCTTAGTGAAGTTGAAAGAATTAAAGAAATGCTTTTGGTGCTTTTTGAAAGTGCTTTAAAGCATATCAAAAAATAGAAAAAGTCGATTGGTGCGTGTCGAATTCGCTCAAATTGATTGATAACATTTTTGTATTACTTAACAAAGGCGTATGAAGTTAGAAAAGTTAATGGGAACACTTTCCAGGAACTTTCAAATAATTTTGATTATTGGAAAGTATGGTTCTTGTGAATCAAAATGGCTTTAATCGATTAAAAACACCTATAGGATACTTTGCAAAGTTGAAAATATTAAAAAATTGCTTTTGAAGCTTTTTGAAAGTGCTTTGAAGCATATCAAAAATAAAAATAGTTGATTGGTGCGTGTCAAATTCGCTCAAATTGATTGATAACATTTTTGTATTACTTAACAAAGGCGCATGAAGTTAGAAAAGTTTATGAGAACACTTTCCAGAAGCTTTCAAAAAAATTTGATTATGGAAAAGTATGGTTAGTGTGAATCAAAATGGTTCTAATCGATTAAAAACACCTCTATGATACTTAGTGAAGTTGAAAGAATTAAAGAAATGCTTTTGGTGCTTTTTGAAAGTGCTTTGAAGCATATCAAAAAATAGNGCATGACAAAATAGCCCAAAACCGAATGAAAACGTTCTCAGATTACTTGCCAAAGACGAGAGAAGTTGGAAAAGATGATGAGCACATTTTCTGGAAGTTTAGAAAAATTTTACAATCTCAAAAAATACGACTGGTATATGTCAAAACACTAATAATCGATTAAAAACATCTCTATGATACTTAGCGAAGCTGAAAGAATTAAAAATGCTTTTGATGCTTTTTGAAAGTGCTTTCTAGAGTTCCAGAAAATAGAGAAAGTTGATTGGTGCGTGTCAAAATGGCTCAAATACAAAGACGAAAGAAGTTATAAAAGTTGATGAGAACACTTTTCAGAAGCTTTCAAAAAATTTTGATTATGGGAAAGTATGCTTAGTGTAAGTCAAAATGGCTCTAATGGATTGAAAACATCTCTAGGATACTTAGTGAAGTTGAAAGAATTAAAGAAATGCTTTTGGTGTTTTTTGAAAGTGCTTTGAAGCATATCTAAAAATAGAAAAACTCGATTGGTGCGTGTCGAATTCGCTCAAATTGATTGATAACATTTTTGTATTACTTAACAAGGGGATATGAAGTGAAAAAAGTTAATCGGACCACTTTCCAGAAGCTTTCAAAAAATTTTGATTATGGGAAAGTATGGTTAGTGTGAATCAAAATGGTTCTAATCGATTAAAAACACCTCTATGATACTTAGTGAAGTTGAAAGAATTAAAGAAATGCTTTTGGTGCTTTTTGAAAGTGCTTTGAAGCATATCAAAAAATAGAAAAACTCGATTGGTGCGTGTCAAATTCGCTCAAATTGATTGATAACATTTTTGTATTACTTAACAAAGGCGTATGAAGTTAAAAAAGTTAATGGGAACACTTTCCAGAAGCTTTCAAAAAAATTTGATTATGGAAAAGTATGGTTCGTGTGAATCAAAATGGTTCTAATCGATTAAAAATATCTCTAGGATACTTAACGAAGTTGAAAGAATTAAAGAAATGCTTTTGGTGCTTTTTGAAAGTGCTTTGAAGCATATCAAGAAATAGAAGAAGTCGATTGATGCGTGTCGAATTCGCTCAAATTGATTGATAACAATTTTATATTACTTAACATAGGCGTATGAAGTTAGAAAAGTAAATGTGAACACTTTCCAGAAGCTTTCAAAAAATTTTGATTATGGGAAAGTATGGTTCGTGTGAATTAAAATGGTTCTAATCGATTAAAAACACCTCTATGATACTTAGTGAAGTTGAAAGAATTAAAGAAATGCTTTTGGTGCTTTTTGAAAGTGCTTTGAAGCATATCAAAAAATAGAAAAAGTCGATTGGTGCGTGTCGAATTCGCTCAAATTGATTGATAACATTTTTGTATTACTTAACAAAGGGGTATGAAGTTAAAAAAGTTAATGGGAACACTCCAGAAGCTTTCAAAAAATTTTGATTATGGGAAAGTATGGTTCGTGCGAATCAAAATGGTTCTAATCGATTAAAAACACCTCTATGATACTTTGCAAAGTTGAAAGAATTAAAAAATTTCTTTTGGTAGCTTTTAAAAGTGCTTTCATGAATACCAGAAAATAGAGAAATTCGATTGGTGCGTGTCAAATTCGCTCAAATTGATTAATAACATTTTTGTATTACTTAACAAGGGGATATGAAGTTAAAAAAGCTAATCGGAACACTTTCCAGAAGCTTTCAAAAAATTTTGATTATTCGAAAGTATGGTTCGTGTGAATCAAAATGAATCTAATCGGTTGAAAACATCTCTAAGATACTTAGCGGAGTTGAAAAACTAAAAAAATTGCTTTTGATGCTGTTTGAAAGTGCTTTCTGAATACCAGAAAATAGAAAAATTCGATTGGTGCGTGTCAAAATTGCTTAAATCGATTTAAAACATTTTTATATCAGATAGCAAAGACTACAGAAGTTAGTAAAGTTAATAAGAACACTTTCTTAATAAACTTAATATAATTTAATAAAGTTATATACATATAAGTATNGTGAATCAAAATGGTTCTAATCGATTAAAAACACCTCTATGATACTTAGTGAAGTTGAAAGAATTAAAGAAATGCTTTTGGTGCTTTTTGAAAGTGCTTTGAAGCATATCAAAAAATAGAAAAAGTCGATTGGTGCGTGTCGAATTCGCTCAAATTGATTGATAACATTTTTGTATTACTTAACAAGGGGATATGAAGTTAAAAAAGTTAATGTGAACACTTTCCAGAAGCTTTCAAACAATTTTGGTTATGGGAAAGTATGGTTTGTGTGAATCAAAATGGTTCTAATCGATTAAAAACACCTCTATGATACTTAGTGAAGTTGAAAGAATTAAAAAAATGCTTTTGATGCTTTTTGAAAGTGCTTTGAAGCATATCAAAAAATAGAAAAAGTCGATTGGTGCGCGTCGAATTCGCTCAAATTGATTGATAACATTTTTGTATTACTTAACAAGGGATATGAAGTTAAAAAAGTTAATCGGACCACTTTCCAGAAGCTTTCAAAAAATTTGGATTATTCCAAAGTATGGTTCGTGTGAATCAAAATGAATCTAATCGGTTGAAAATATCTCTAAGATACTTAGCGAAGTTGAAAAACTAAAAAAATTGCTTTTGATGCTGTTTGAAAGTGCTTTCTGAATACCAGAAAATAGAAAAATTTGACTGGTACCTGTCAAAATTGCTTAAATCGATTTAAAACATTTTTATATCAGATAGCGAAGACTACAGTAGTTAGTAAAGTTAATAAGAACACTTTCTTAATAAACTTAATATAATTTAATAAAGTTATATACATATAAGTATATACAGGGTGAGTTATTAGTATCCCGGCGGTCGATAGTTATACTAAATCGTTTGAAAATGAAAAAATTATTTTATACAAAAGTTGTTTTACTCACTTTCTATTACGTAAAATTATTTTCAGGTATACAGGGTGTTCGATTTAACCGTAACAGATAGTATGTATTTTTTTTTTAATGAAACACCCCGTATATTTTATCATATTATGAATATAAATAAATTTGTTTAGTTACTATTATGTTACTATTTTACAGCGTTCATAGTTCCTGAGATATTCAATTGTTCTTCCAAAATGTGCCCATTGCAAGATCTTTTCAAAAACGATGTAAAAACGACATTTTTTCCATGAAACTATGTCAGATAATAGTCAAGGCCAGTAAATAGATGTTAGTATATACAATGATAGTACAAAGATATTAGACACACTATACAGCGTGTTTATAAAGTTTAGTAACTTTTGATGTTTTTCAAATGTCTTTTCTTAAGTTTTTTAAATGGAACATTCTGTATATTGTGTGCTGGTTTTTTGTAAATTTTGATTCTTTACAAGATAAGAATTAAGCCCATAATAAAATCTTAAATACTTTAAAACACATGTCTTTCCTTATTATTATTTAAAAAAAATTCTTTCTTAATGCAATGGAATTCCATTTAAAATTGATGGCCTCTGTATATGGTAGCAGCCATGAAAGAAATACTCGCACAGAAACACAGTGAACGAGAGAGAAGGATAGATCATGGTTCATATTGCAAAACATACCTACCAACAACAGCAGCAGTAACAACAACGCGAACGAGGAAGTAAAACGATCATTTGCGCTGCGGCTCCTTCGCTTCGTCCCTGCTGTCGTTGTTGTGTAAGAGAAAAAGAGATGTGAATCATAAACCATAAGACAAGAAAACCTTTCTTATTTACGTTCCCTCGTTTAAGATTGTTTAAAAGTTTTAAATCATTTTTCGATTTTAACAATGCCAACGATTTATTTTTATGTCTTTTCGCGTTGTGATTTCTCGAAGAATACAATGTGAGCTGAGTTGTGTTGAGCTGAGCTGCAACGACCGTGCCCTCAGCCTCGGTTGACAATGATAAAGAGAAAAATTGTTAAAGGAGACCAACGAACTAATAAAATCTGACTCGTTCGAGGTCGTCGACTGTATAACAATAATAATAAATTTCAAACAATCAGTCGTCGGAGTTAATGATGTCGAAAGTTGACTCAACAATCAATGATTAAATCAAAAACGAATAATTACATTTAATTTTGTTTTTTTTTTAAATCTTAAATTTCATGTTTCTTAAAATCCTGACTAAGTAATTAAATGAAATAAACACAAACCTTTAGTCGCCGTTAAGTGTCGTTTTTCATCTTCCGAAGAATTACGATTAAGTCGGTGGTTTCCTCCTCGTCCTTCACCATCCGAGTTGTTTCCATAAAACGTCCAAACTACTACAATTACGGTCACTAAAGCCGCTATCGCCGTGATTATTAAGAATACGTGACATCTTTGGTTTAATTTCGAAGTCATTTTTTGATTTAATTAAAAAAGATAAATTGAATTAATTAATTAAAATAATTATTTTGAACTAAATTTAATAATAACAAGGCTAATATAGCCCAATATAAATTATCGTTTTAGAAAATCGAATTAATTTAAAATTATCGCCTTTTAAAATTCGAAATTTCTATTTTTAATTTAAAATTTGTTTTCAGTTTTTTGATCTTTTTAATGTTTTTTCGTATTTTTAACTTCGCGTGGTTAAGGTGCATGTTCAATTCGGTTCTTGTTGCAATTCTTCGCCGGTTCTTGAATGTTCTAAAACGGCATTTCTTGATGATGATGAATTTATTTCGAGCAAATTCTGAAAATAAATTAAAATCAATTTAAAACATGTGTTTTTGTGATTTCTAACATTCTTAAACTTGCACACGCAGATACAACAAACATCAGAAAATATTAAAGTAAAAGCTTCGGTACACAAAAATTAATTTTATGTTTATGTCCTCGGCTAACATACAGGGTGATTCTCAACCTATAGCCATAAACTTGGACATTTATTCCTCGAGACAAATAATATAATGGCTAATAGGTGACAAAAATTGTAGTAAAAGGTTTTTTGGTTTCCTAGATATCTGATATATGCAACAACATCTAGATAATGTATTTCCCGAAAGATGGATAGGTCGAGGTGGTCCAATGGTTTGGTCACCTGGATTGCACCTGATCCTCTTGATTATTTTTTTGCGATCATTTAAAAAGTATAGTGTACGCCACCAAAGTACTGAGCAAGGATTACACCCATCGGAAAAGAGCGCAGGGACCTCTAAGCCTTTGGCCAAGAGGGCGCGCTCTGATGGGTCGACGCCCGAGCTAGTGGCTAAGAAGCCCAAGCCGGCTGAGATCGTGCCGACGGAAACCAAAGCTGCTTCAGAGAAGCAGCTGACTTACAAAGCTGCTGTAAGCGGTATCAGGGTTGGATTAATCCACCCAGACTATCCCGCCCAGCAGTTCAATGTAGAACAAGTGGGGTTGCTACGGAGGGAGGTTATTTCAGCCGTAGACAACATCCAAAAAGGGGGTGTGCGAACACAAGTCCGGTTCGAGGGCTGTGCGACGCGTCCAGGCTGGCTTTTAGTCACCTGCGCGGATGCCTGCTCGAAGGACTGGCTTGTGAATACAGCCAATAGCCTTCATCCATGGGAGGGTGCCCAGATTAAGGCGGTCGAGGGGAAAGATATTCCCAGGCCGCACGTCTGTGTAGCATATATCCCAGACGATGAAGCTAATGTTCCTCTCACCAAAGAGACGGTGTTAACCCGATTGGAGGTGATGAACAACTCACTCCAAACATCCGAGTGGACGGTTCTGAACACCACCAGATCCGGACCGGGGCAGACGTGGACCTTCGCGGTTGACGAAGTGTCTTGCAACGCCCTGGAAGAACTGTGCTGGCGGCCGTACTTCGGATATGGAAGAATTCAGTTCCGACTGAAAGGAAAGGGAGTGGAGAATCCCGCACCTACTACCGAGACGACGGAGGCTGTGACGGTCGCCCCGTCGACATCATCAGCTCCCGCGGCAACAAGCGCGTGAAAAAATCGCCAGGTGTGAAACCCGGCCGAGGTGGGATATCCGCACGTGCCGGGGTGTCCAGCAGGGGGCGTCGTGTAGGTGCTCGTTCTGCACCACGGGAGAGTGGAGAAAGAGGAAAGTCCTCGACTCCTGCCCGAGGCTCGAGAGGGCGCGCTGGAATGAGAGGGGCCGGTGGGACGGCTGCTCCATCCCATGCGAGAGGTAGCTAGGGGAAACTGTACTCAGCTCAGTGGATAAGTCTATTAACTGTTTACAGGTAAACCTGCAGCACGCTAGGGCTGCTACAGCTGTCCTTAGCAGAACCTGGATGAGTGAGCGAATTGATATTGCCCTCATTCAGGAACCATGGCTCGCCAATACCGGGCGCATCAGCGGACTCGGTAATTTATCCGGTAAGTTACTTTGCTCAGGAGATAGACCCAGAGCTTGTTTACTTATCAGGAACAACATTAATGCTTTCTTAATCTCAGAGCATAGCCACCGCGATTGTGTGGCTGCGGTTCTGAGAATCCGCGGTGAGAAGGGCTGGACAGAAATTATCATCTGCTCGGCATACTTCCCCCGGCCGCTGTGCGAGACATATGAGACATGCGAGCCTTGCAGATAACCTAACTAGTGTTATCGCAACCGTTAGGAACTGTGATCCGGTTGAAATAGCCACGGAGCAGATCTCTGTGGCAATTCGCTCTGCATATCACAGTAGCAGTCCACTGAAGGTGAAAAGTAGTAATCTGGGCACAC